GTTTGTTCGTTTGTTCGTTTGTTTGTTTGTTTGTTCGTTTGTTTGTTCTTTTGTTTGTTTGTTCTTTTGTTTGTTTGTTTGTTCTTCTCTGTGCTTCAAGGATTTTCTTTCTGGGTTCTAACTTCTAAATTCTAACTTCTCAATTCTAATTCGATCTATCTTTAGCCTTATCAAGTGGGTTACGAAATCTGTTAGGTTTTCCGTTCCATCCAATTAGATTAAATTACTTGAGGGATAAAAAGGTGAGAAAGCAACGCGGGTGTGCGCTTACGCTGCTAATGCGCCCTCTCTCACAGCTGTAGTCATGGGTTCCACCTCCGGACTCGAGTGAGTAGAGTTGCTTATTAGTTTTCTCCTGTGCTCTGAGGGTTTTTTTCCGGGTTGTCTCCCTCCACAAAAGGAACGAGGGCAACAGGTGTGTTTGGCACTGGCTACTAAGTGTCACCCTCAAAATAAGGAAAAGTCCGTAAGGAAGTAAAGGAATGCAAAAGAGATGAAGATATATACCTTGATGACTTGGTGATCAACCAGTCCTCCAATAACGTAGACTTTGTGTTCATCTAATTCACCTAGAACTAGAACGTGTAGCAATTAAGGTGACTGCCTACTTTTGGAAAACAATTTAAACTTTTAAACTTCGATTTTCCGAATAGAAATTTAATGCTGATTCCAAATCTGGAAAGAGAAATTCACTTACTGTTTGGAGAGTCTGGACTGAGGTACACGATACTCTCTGACTCGAATATGTCTGGTACTTTTCTCTCTGTTATATCAATCTACACCAAAAGGACAAACAACGACAACAACAACATCCGAATGAGAAAAGGACGTTTGCATGATCGTTCTATCCTTTTATACTACCACTATCAAAATCCTTCAAGAATCTCCTTTCTCATTCAAAAAAATTAAAAAATAAAATTTGTATTTCCTTATGAGAATAGTAAGACAATTAGTGCTAATTAAATGAACAACAAAAAGTGTGCAAGGGAGTCTGGTTGTCGTAGTTAATAACGCCATAATGAAGTGTCTTATTGTTTTATTATAACGTCTTTATTCTCCTTCGCCTAAACTTGTGTCATATTGATCGGCTTTGTGCGACAAGTTTCAACCATAATTTCACCGTAAACCTCGTCTTAAGAGTTTCTAGACAATAATTTGACCCCGTATAGACCCCTTGCACTGATTCCCTCGAGGAATTGTTCTGGGGAACAAAACAATGGATTTTTTTTCTTCTTTTTTTTGCATAAGAAAAGACGCCCTTTTGTTTTGTCTACTAGAACAATCCCTCTAGGAAATCAATGCAAGGGGTCTATAAAGATTCTTAGTTTTCTCATTGTCCCTTGTAGTCCAAACGTTTACCATTCTTCCTCTACTTAGACTAAACAAGGGGGAATGGAATCTAGTGCTATTTTCTTACCAAGTATTTCTCAAAGCCTTCGTTTTGTCTTGTACATTCTTTGTATATTCTACCGTTTCTGTCCATCCCAGTCAAGTAAACATGGAAAGGTTGAGGTGATTTGAGGTTAGACCCATATAGTCGTCTTATTTGTCCAGCTACTTTAGTAATTTCCTAGAAATGTTTTTGCAGATATTACCCTCGTTAGGGACAGTTCAATAATTAGAGGGAGGAGGACTGGGGCAAATAGGGGAGAGTTATCATTTTCTATGCAAACTCAAAGCGAGGGTCATAAAAAATTGTGACGTAAAATATTATGGGGGGGGGGGGGAGCGACACCTTTTCTGCAGCAGAGTGCAGCATGGAAAGAAGAGAGCCTCAAAAATATGCAGATCATAAGCAAAATGCACCGCCCTCTATCTAAGTAATGGCAGGGCCCTAAAACAAGAACAAAGGTGACTGAAAAGCAAATTCCATGACCTTCTATGACTGTACGATCCTGAAGCAATATTAACTGGTTCTTACTTTGTCTGTCATGTGTTCCTCTAGGCTCAGGTCGATAGCTACTCGTTGTCCAGACAACAAGGCTGTCGTCACTTTCTCTTTCCTGGCTTGCTTCGTTTCTTTTTTGGTCAAGCGATCCTCGGATAAAATATCATCTACAAAGCATGTCGGAAAAGGGTATTCAAAAAGGCCGGTTTAGACGGTACGATTTTCGCCCACAACTATCGCATACAACACGCTCGCATCTGTCGTAGGCGAGTTGTAGGCTTGATTTACACGCTACGACTCGAGTTGTAGGATGGCGCGAGCGTGTTGTATACGATAGTTGTAGGCGAAAATCGTAGCCGTCTAAACCGGCCTTAAGCAATAATTTACGTTACTCATTCCATTTTGATATTACGAAGAAAACACTAGTGTGCTAAAAAAATGGGCAACCTAATGGGCCTTTTCTGAGTTCGACAAACATGATGCATTGTGGTCTAGCTTCGGTACAAACAACACTCATATAAGGTATTGGTGAACAAGAGATGTTTGTAACAAAACTAGTGCTAAAAAATGGGCAACCAAATGGACCCAAGGGATGCACGGGATAGAACTGGGGGTGTGCTTCCCTAAGTATGCACTATGAGCTACCTTTCTTCATTCTTCATTCAGTCTATATATCCATCACAAACAAAGGCACACACGTAGTAAAAGTACTTATGTTTTAAACTTATTACTTTTCAACTCCAAAGGGGTTACCTGCCACCCAATCCATCCCCTCCCCCCCCCCTCCCCCCCCCAGATCTGCCCTTGATAATGGCTGGTTTTCAATCATTCCAAGGGGGTGTTATTACGGGTTTCATGTTGGTTGATATAACAAAACAATTCATTGACAATTCTTTTGTTGAATTCCACCAAGATGGCGGTTATGACGTCATGTGCAAAAGAAAGATATGAACCGCGAAACCAATCCCTACCTGATTCACCACTGTTAGAAGTTAATCCCATTGTTTCTTCTCTTCTCCTTATCTTTTTCATTCTGTAGCGTTCCTGTTAAAAAACACGACAACACGATAACCTATACACCTATTTCAAAAAACCTTGTCAGTTGGAGATTTAAAATCTGAAATCTGAGACTGAGTGCAACACACTGACACACGGTGCAACATTGCACGCAACATTGCAAGCAACAAATTTGAATCGGGGTGACACACATTGCAACAAAGTCACACAACATCGCTCGTGTCAGCCTGCTATATTAAGATATTTCGTCAGCAGTTATAAATTTGGTGCAAGCTGATTGGCTGGAAAATCCAAAATGTTACCGGTAATTTTGCAGCCATGGGTCACATGATGAAATTTGTTGCGCGCAATGTTGCAAGATTAGAGCACGATTCAACTAACTTCAGATTAGTTGCATGCAACAAGTTTGGGGAATGTTTGTGCAATGTCGCACCGTGTGTCAGCACCTTAACACGTTGCAAATTGTGATACATCTACAGGAGAACGTAGTTCCCTTTAAAATTGGAATACGAAGCATGAACTTTGAGTTAGCAATGTGATTTTTCGTATTTTAGCCAGAAAATATAAAATCACAAAAATTCCGTTTAGTCTAAGATCGACAATGCTTTTTTGAAATAGGTGTATAGTTCACTCAACAACTGAATTTCCCTAAGGTTGGGTTTGGGAATTTGAAAATCTTTTAGCAGCATGCATATATGCACAGTTTACAAAGAATTTCAGGTCACATTTAAGAAATACTTTATTCACCTTTCTCTGTTGTAACTTTTCTAGAGACTTCACTTGCTTTTTCTGTCGAAAACAGACACGATCCACGTTATATTGAAGAAATAGAGAACGCGCGCGCGTTCTGTGTGCAGTTTATGAAGCACGCGGTGTCGGAAGAACACGAGAGAAGTGTTGGGACAGCGATTTTACTTTTCAGTCTCTTCATAACTCACCGATAATTTCCCCAGCTCCTCATCTAAAGATACTACGATTTCATCAAGCTCCTCGTAAGTTGTGGCAGAGACAAGCCTGTCTTTCATTCCAGAAAATCTGTTGAGACTAAAGAGAGGTCATCACAAATTAAGAAAGATGAAAACTAAAGATTACTTTGTCATTGACAAATTCTTGAAATTCTTTGACTTTCTTTTCAATTTGGCGTACATATAACAAGAAAAACTTTACTCTTACATGTATCCAGAGAATTTCAAGATGGTTTCTTTGGCTATGTCCAACTGTGTGGCACACTTCATACACAGGTCAGTATAATCTTTCATCATTTGCACAGCTGAGGGTCGCTTTTCCAAGAAAAAGGAAGGGTTCCACAACAGAGGTTCTGAAAATAACAAATTCTGCATTTATCTGGCTTTTAATGAGATTTCCATGATGCTAATCTAAATCTTTAATTGGATTTACCACTCCAAGGATTCACTACTCCATGGAAATCCTAACAGGTATTGCAGCCCCCTTGATAAGGGCAACGATAGATCAAACTAGAATTTCCAAGTTGATCCTTGTGGATAGAGGAAAAACCGGAGAACCTCATAAAACTCTCAAAGGACAGGAGAGAAACAACAAACAACTCCACTTACATACAACACCGAGCCTGGCAGGACTCAAACGCATTGCCTTGGCGATAGGCGGACACTCTCACCACTATGACACACAAGCTTCCCTTTTACTGATAAACATAAAACTTGATAACAGAAACTTTATTCACTGACAAAAGCAAGAGCGGAGTGTGCTGGTGTAGTGCACTCACTGCCTCTCACCACTGTTGCCATGGTGTGATCCTTTTTTGAATGCCTTGGTTACTACGGTCCTCAAATTTTATCAAACTGATGTACAGTAAGCGTGATCTTTTTTGTGTGCATAAAGTGCACTTTGATAGGTATGTATAGTACCTATGTTTTGCTAATGTTACATACCTGCCACAGCAAGCCCATCAACACCTGTGAAGGCCAGACACCGCTCAACCTCATGTACAGACTGACATCCAATCTCAAGAACTACAACTGTTTCTTTTGATACTGAATCTCTGAACAAAGATAAAATACAAATATTTTCTCTCTTCAAAAATCCTTTTACTTCATAAAGAAAGATAATATGGCAAGCTAGATATCAGCACATCCAAAAACTGCTCAACAAAATTGAATGCAGCGATGCTAAATCTCAAATCATAACAACGTTAATAGCAGAGAATAAATACCCTTTATTAACTATGAATGATGAGTGACAACTAAGCCTGCAATGTTTTTCCACTGCTTGGGATGCCTGTGTTGGATTTGGACAAGGGGTGTTGGGTGACTGACCGGTGCAGATAATTTAATAAAAAATCTAACTTTAAATTGTGACTAAGTTGATAAATGTACTACCAGCAAAGCAAGATATAAAAGCCTTCAACTTTAAATTTACTGTAATTCTATGTTTATTAGAATCAGTTCTCCAACACAGGAGTCCTTGCAGGAGAGACAATAGACCTATCCCGAATTCACTTGACTGGTCACAAAACAATGGTTTGAAGTTGAGGTTGAACTTGATGAATAAAAGAATCAAGTTCAGTCTCGACTTCAAACCATTGTTTTGTGGTCAGTCAAGTGAATTCTGGATAGCTCTATTCATGAGTATTTAGTATTTGCTAACCTGATTTCCTTAATCAAGCCCCAGTGTATCTTTTTGAGGACGGAAGGTTTGTGATCACCATGGATACGGCCATGAAGGAGTATAACCTGGAATTAGGATGAATTTGACAATTCAAGATAAAGTAGTTTCTGAGCTCTAACTCCCAGGGAAGATTTTGAGTATGGGGGGTTTAAAATTTAAGGAGATGCACCTTTTGCTTTACTAACCAAATAATTCCAAGCTACAGGATGGGGGGGGTAGGGGTTACAAAATGTAGAAGACACACCTTTTGCTATACTAACCAGTTCCAAGTTGGAAAGGGGGGAGGTCATGGTCCTAGGCCCCCCACACCCCAGATAAGCCCCTGACTCTACATAAAAATATTTACATTTGGACAAAAGGAGAGGCACTTATTTCAACTAAAAAAAAGGAACTGTGGTTTAATTTACATATTATGTAGCCCAAACATTCTGATAATTGTAATATAGAGTTTTAGCTTCTTATTTTTTTTTGCTAAAATTTTTATTGTCATATTTTTGATGTTGTCTATCAAATGAATAAAGACTATTACCACCATCACCATTATCACAACCACCACCACCACCACAACACCACCACCAGGTACCACAATCATCATCATCATCAACATCATCATCATTCAAGATAATGTACAGCTGTATGCAAAATTTTGATTGACAACATGGATTATTACACCAAGTGTGAATTTATAAAGAATATTTAAGACCCATAATTCCTTTCCATCATGCAAACACCATTCAACGGTCGATGTTCACCATGCATTCTCTTTGTAAGTGTAATAATTATGTCACTGTTTGTGCAGCCTGGAGACAAATTAACACCCCATTCACACCTAAATGTGTTTAGTTAAACTTAATGTTTTCATTAGGAAAAAAATTGAGAAACTAGAAACCTACAATATAATGAAACTTTCTAAAATATTATCAGAGCAAGACAAAGGATAGTTTACATGCATTGTTTCACCAAATATTGTGCAGTGTTCGTAAATAGTTTTTCAAACCTGTTTAGTTAAACCACTTTAAAACATGTTTAAGCCTTGGTGTGAATGGGGTATAAGATTCAAAATCCCATGTCATGCCAAGTGTCAAAGTATTAATATGTACAAAAGATAAAAATAAAGGTTGAAAAGCACGAATAATTCATTGAGATGTAACTTGCTTTGCTTAATTACCTTACAGCCAGCATGGTGCAGCTGTTCAGCCATCCTGATCGTCTTGTCAATGTCATTATGGCTTATCATGAGTTTGCAAGCAATAGGGCAAGAGAATTTGGTGTGCAGAGTTTTGATGCTCTTAAGAAGACGTTGATACATTTGATCTGTGTAATAATCAATGCAAGTCACAATCACCTATTAAGGCAATTTTTTATGCTTCATTCTTTAGTAAGACTGAAGTGCATACCATCTAAGTTGGAATTGTCTGCTTGGGGTAAAATAATGTCAATAGCGGACACAGTAGAAGAGAAATGCTCTTGGATGACCCCTGCAGCTTTAAGAACAGATTCTTCATYATCAATAACTACCTGCAAGTAAAATATAAAAGAAGTGTTGATGACGTCGTAAAAAGTTTCTTAAATCTATGTAAGCTTAATATATATGAATGCATCTGCATGCAGCACTGCATGTTTTAAGAATAATAATAAAACAGCAGCAGCAAAGCAATCACAATGACAGAAACACAACAATTACAGCAGTGGCAGCAGGAACAACAATAGACAGCAACAACAATATAACAGCAGCAACAACAACAGCATACTAGCTTAAAAACAGCAGCAGCAACAATAACAACAGCAGCAATGGCAGCAGGACCAACAATAGACAGCAACAACAATACAACAGTGGCAAAAATTACAACAGCAACAACATGACAGCAGCAGCGACAACAATAAAAGCAACAACAGCAGCAACAACACTTACAGCAGCAACAACGACAACAACAACAGCAACAACAACAGCAACAACAACAGCAACAACAACAGCAACAACAAAGTAGCAACAACAACAGCATCAGTAACAAAAACTGCAGCAACAACAACAGCATTAAGAGCAACAGCAGCAAGAGCAACAACAAATTAACAACAGCATGCAACAACAACAACAACGACGACGATGACAACAACAACCGCAACACCAGTTGGCTTGGTTCGTGGATTTCTTAATATTCATATTTYAACAAACCATATAATTAAATACAATACAATGATTTCAACAGCACGTCTTACTTGAACAATGCAATTCCCTCCAACTACTTGCCATCTTCTCAACCAAATTTCATCGATTCCCGAAGAATTCACCGCTGGTAAACAAACCACATGCGTTCCATACTTTGCCACCAACATACTATACGCATTATCACTTATCTCTACAAAAGGAGATTGAAAAAAACGACACTCTTTAAGAGATCTGCCAACTTTACCACATTTTATCATATTTTCATCTTCGTCCGCCATTTTGAATTCAAAACGTTGACCGCTGGGATTTTGCGGGCTCAAGAACTAGAAATCGCCCCAGGCCTTCTCTAAATTCAAAATGGCGGATTATTGTTTTCAGTTGCTAAGATCTTCAAAGCCTTTCTTTTGTTATGATTTTAAATAATATGCAGCGTGAATCGTAAATTGGAATACTTCCTACAGAAGAAATAATTATTGTGCGTTGCAGTTAGTGGTATTTTTCGACGGTAAATCAAAGATCGCAAGGACATACAAGCTATTTTTTTGTGTCAAACATTTGTTGACGTTGACAAAAAGTGACCTTTCAAGAGATTTGCTGCCAAGTTCTTCTTTGCTCTTCATAAACTTTGTGCTGTTTTACTCAAATATATATTAGAGACCTTGCTTTTGAGTGGATGGATCGTATCTTGGGCATACAGAACAAGAATAGTCTGTCTATACCTTGATGTACAAAATGTGAGAAGTACAGTTTTGGTGATATTTGACTTCTGAAAGGTTAAGGAGAAAGAGTTTTGAACATGGAGTTTCCGTTCAACGTGAACCATGTCTTACCGGAGACTGTTACCCTGGTGGATGAAAATTTTTCTCCATTTCGAGAAAAATTCAAACATGACAGGTATAAATTAATATTCGATATGAATAGATCAACATGCATATATATACATATATACATGTACTGTAATATGTTATGTGAGTTCATCCGTGTTTATTAATACAGTAAACTTATGTGTTAGCTGAGTATACATATACACAGTCATTTATTAAAGTGCTACTACGACGAAAATCGCTCAAACTTGGATGCAGCTGAAACTTCCTAAGAATACTCTTTAAAGGTCCAATAATCACTGTATGAAGTGTTTTCTCGATATTCAGGACGAAAGTATGATATTTTTACGATTATTTTT